AAATAGAATAAATATTAATTAAAATACATTACAACAAGATTCCTATATAAATAATAAATATTTTCCAAGAAGCTGATGTTAACTAGAGTTATTAGACTCGGGGAGTTAACTAGGAGTTATTAGACTTATAAAACTATAAACATCATAAAACAAATGCACAAGCATAAACATCTAAACATCTATATTAAGCATGAATTTCCTGCATATAAGGTAGTTCTGGACAAAATATTCTATATATATTAGTTTTCATATACATTACCGAAATATAGTAGCTGTAATGAGGCTTAGATTGCATAAAGCTCTAGTCCAAGGTGTTAATTTAACTTTCCAGCATGTTCTTAGTCTGCCACTATTAGCATCCTCTCTGAGCTGAGTAACTTTTTTGAGGTGGAGGGGCTGTCTAAGCTTTCACAGGACCTTTTGGGGACCATATAAATTCACAGACACTGCACATTTATTCTGATGAGCTATGATTTATGATATTTTTTGGTGTGTATAGGACGAATATTCAGAAGGGGAAGGTGGACATTTCTGAACTGACCTGGGAGCAGAAGGAAAGCGTGTTGAGGTTACTCTTTGCAAAAATGAATGGCTTAAGACATCGGTAAAGTCCTATTTGTTAAATTACCTAGAGTTGTAGAATTTTGAAGGTCCATCCAGGTTGTAGTTTCTTATTCCTTATCTCATTACATGTATGCTAAATCTGAAATATGGAAAATTGCTACCCCGAAAAAAAAGATGGTTATTTCTTTTTGAGAGTTTAAAATATGACTATTATAGACATTTTCATCTTACATTTCTTACCCACTGCAGTGTGAATAGGTAGCAAATGAGCATCAGAAAAAGATATAGTTGTTTGTGAATTGGATGTGCTTTTATATTTAGTAATGAAAGTTTCAAAGCAGAGAGACTATGAGTGATAGATGTCATTTTCATTCATAGCATGCATACAGTACCGAATTAGTGGATCTTGTAGACAGTAGTAAAAGAGGAAACCTATTGCAATTAACATTTATTACCAACAGTGAGCTTTATATGCCATAGAGTGATTGGTTCACATTCTGAATTAATCCATGGTTGGTTTGACATTAATTTATTATGTCACAAACCATAATTGCTAAAGGATAGTGGGTGGAGCTGCACAACAGGTTAAATCACTATGAGGTTTCTTTGGTCTTATCTTAACATCTATACAAACCCGATTAGTAATTATATTAACAAAAATGAAAGAAGTAAATAAGACAGAAAGGGAATTGGGGGACTAATGGAGAGTGAAAGGGTTATCTTTGTTAATTGCTATGGAATTAACACCAGGTATCTTGGTTATTTATGAACTATTAATGTTTAGCCATGGATTAAAACAATATCCTCTACATCAAACTGAGGATATACAGTATTAGGTTGTTAAAAATGGCAATGCCTTGCCTCAACTTTGTCTTGACTATTTTTATATTGTAAATTTACATATTAGTTTTAGAAAATACAGATTATAAAAAGAAAATTAATCAGCAAACTTTTTAAAAAACCTAAATCATAGAAGAATCCATACAAAATATTACAGTGATATTCCACATGTACAATTTTTGATATGTTAGTACTCCCCATAACATGTATGTAGGTAAAAAAGATCAAAAAATGGCATCAGATTCTTGAAATAAGTAGCTTTAGGAGTTTTTTAAAAATGCTGTCCTGAGATACTATATTTCATGGGGATTTCTAAACAGAAATAGATTCTGATTTGTTGAGGACTGAAGTTATGGCCATGCTCCTGTAGAGTGTTAGAACTAGCAGAGCCTTTTTGCAGAAATATAGCAGATGACAAAATTTTGCCTTTTTTCTCTAGTAACATCTAAAGGCTTTCCAGATAGTTTTTTTTTTTTTAAGTATGTTTTGCATTTCCTGCCAGAAATTAGTAAATTGGTCTTTTGTTTTCATGCTCTGAGGCAGAGCCAGTCTGGTGGAAAAATGTGGCTCTAAACACAAGATTCAGGTTACAGTATTTATTTGTACTATAATTCAGGCATTCCTGCAGAAGCTGAAGGCAGTGCATATGTATAGCACTCTCTCGTCCTCATTTTTCCCCACATCAAACCTGTGAGACAGGTTGGACTAAGAGAAGTACAGTAACTGGCCCAAAGTCACCCACTGAACTTCCATTTGAACATAGGTTTCCCTCGTCCTAATCCATTACCTTAACCACTAGACTAACTGGCAGTGGGAAAGTTCTGGTTGTTTATCACAGTTGTCTTGATGAAATTTGCATGCCACTGTCATGCCAACCGAAAGTATTCAGAGAATTCTGTATCTCCAGAGTCTTAACAAATGTTATAAAGTAATGAAGGACAATCAGGAGTGGGTCATTCAGAAGACTCCCCACCTAGTGAATAATTAGATAACAAACTGAACTATCTTTTATGTTGGCCATGGCACATTAGGATCTAGAATGGACGTAGCCTTTCTCGTGGTGATCAGAGATGTGATTGCTATTTTACAAGGGATGGAAAGAAGGAGATGCTTTATCATATTGACTCAGCCATTTCCTTGCAGATTATAAGCCCTCTGATTATCAATTACTGAAACACAGTGATAAGAGTTTCAAACAAAATCTTAAAATTTAAAAATACATCAATATTATCTACTTTCATTTTATTCAACTCTTTCAACAAGGGTTTATAGTATACAAATAACAAAAATAACACAGACCTCATTAATTCAGCATTTATTCTGTAATTTTTGTTTCATAGGAAATACAGTCAGGTTTTGGTTCCATTAACACCAACCAATGTTAATTTTGCAGAAACAAAGACATCCGGGTAAGAGATTACATCTATTTAATTATTAATTTTCTAACAGTTTATAAACTGAATGACACTTCCAAGGGATGACTTTTTTGGTTTTTTTGTGTTTGAGTCTCATTTAATGCTTATCTGCAGAATTGGATTTATGTAAGTAGTAACTTTTCATGGCAGTGTAAATAGCATTGTAGATATGTTTTTCTCTCCCAACACAATCTTTAATCTAATTTTTATTACTACTTTAGATAGTACTTGTGTAAAATCAAAATGCCTTCTGTAAAAACTACATATCTGCCTGTTGCATGTATGTAATTATTTATTATGATTATTAATATTCCAACTTTCAGGATAACTACAAACTACAGTATAGACCCTAGAAGTGTTAGCAGAAGTATGAAGTATTTTCTAGGTCTCTAGGAGAAAAGATCAGTGTAGGGCTATTCTGTTGCATATATAAAAAACAATCTGCTTATAGCTCTACATAGAATGAAGCACCATAGTTCCTCTTCCTATTAAATTATTAGATGCACCCACATAATGTTAATGATAATGTGCATTTGTATTGCTACAGAGATCAAAATAGGGAAAGCACACAAAGCATGAATAGTGCCTGCAATTCTTAACAATTCCTTAATAACATTTTCACTCTGGATTACATGGGCAGGAAGAAGGAGAGTTTACAATGGAGGAGTTGGCAACATTCCAGCTGCTTTTCCTATAGGGATGAATTGGGATAATTTTTTTCTGGATCTTTTTTTTTTTCCATACAACATAGCCTAAAGAGGCCCACTTTTGAACTCAACCTCTCTTTTCCTGGCTTCTCCCCAACATGAAATCTGATCCTACTTTGTTCAGTTTTGGAAAGTTATCCTGCTAACTTTGGACAGAGACCAAAACTCCTTTACATAATTTCCTTTCCAACACTCAGTTGGGTTGGAAATAAAAAGGGAAGATAAAAAGGGTGTGTGCATTTCCTTGGCCTTAAGAATGGGCTCAATACCTCTAAGATATTTGAGTGTCCCAGTTGTGTTTTAGTTTTTTGTTGCACAAAGAAGCCATTGTGGCATGCCCTAAAAATGGGAAATGCTAAATTTTAGTGAAGAGGGAAAATTTCTGAATAACAGCACTATGAATTATTCTTATTGAGAGAATACATTAGCACTAAATGTGTTGAGTAACTATAGTCATTAGAATTGCCTTACCCATTGTTGTTTTTAAACCTCCAGTAATATTTATGTTTGCAATAATGTTTGTGTAGCAGTTATAATTACTTCAGAGTTTAGCTATCAGTTGGCTTTGGTTCACTCTTTAAAATCAAGTTTCTAAAAAGCAACTCTCTTAAGTGGAAACTTACATGAATGGAGCTATAACTTAAGAATTTTTTGTTCTAAGAATCAAAATATATCTGTAATCCTGATGATACTTGAAATCTTATGGCTAAGATACAGAGGACAACAGAATATACATTACGCCTGATTTTTTTTTTTACTGTTTACCTTCTACAGAGGTGATACTGTTCCTGTTTATGCTTTCATCACTCAGCAGGCACCACTATCTGAGTCATCTCATAAATCACCACCCCTTCCAGATATTTAGGTTCTGCCATCCCAATAACTAAAATGGACATTAATCATAAAACAACTGAAGTTACAATTCTTGCTTTCTCAACCTTTATCCATCTCAGATGTGTAAAACTAAAAATGCTGCAGCAATGAAATCACTCTGCTTTTGTGCATTGCAATTTGGTATTACATCAGGTCAATTTGAAACATAACAGAATTGTTTCTTTAAAGAACTAATTGATGGCTTTCTTCAAAAAGTAGAAGCCTACACATTAACTCATTATGTTTTTTAGTTTAAGAAGTTATTTGAAGGATTGTGTATTCTTGAATAAAATTGATTAAAATATGTTCACAGCTCACAAGTGTTTTAAAACCATATTTTGTGAAAAAAGTAATGGAATAAAAAATATTACTGTGACATTATGCATATATGACATATGGGTGAACAAATGTAGTTTTCTTTCAGGCTTATGTGCTGAATCTTTCACATATGAATATTTGGAGGTAGGGTAGCAGTGGCAGAGGCTACTTTTATTTTTCTTAAAGGCAGCTTCTATTTTCATCTAAGCCTTTCATATGTTTTCAATAGTTCTAACCAGCATGGCCAATGATCAGGACTGATTAATTCAAAACATTTACAAAGCTAGAGATTCTTGGTCTTGAACTAAGGCATGATTTAGTATTATCTTCAAAAAAACAGCCAGAGTTCATACTTTGATTTAGTATTAGAAGTATTACCACTATTAAATTATTAGAAGAAAACCAAAAGACTTCTGAATTTAGTACCATTTATTCATGATTAACATCAATATGCAATTTTCAGGCATACAGATGAATAACCTGTTCAGGTAACAGTGATCAGTTTAAGCACCTGTTAGGTACAAAAGCTAATTTGATAAGACAATAGAAAGCAGTAGCATAATTTCCAAATTTAAGGATTATCTTGTGATCTTTTTTAAATCCATGTGAAGATCATGTGTAGCTCCAAAATACCATCACTGTATCCTTTATTCCTAAATATGACATAAGTGCATCACTCATAGCTAATCAGCACATACTATACTGCTGCACGATCCAGAGATCTCAAGGTCAATGATATGTATCCTCAAGTATGTAAAATCAGAAATGTCTCTGTAGCTAGTGCTAGAATTTACCCATACATAACTAATGAGAAATAATATCAATCAATCAAATTAAAGCAATATTGATAGAATCTATTGCCCCTATAAAAATATGTTGCTTTCTTGCACCATTTGTCCAGCACTACTAAAAACAAAGCACAAACACATTCTAGATCCAAATAAATTCAGTGCATAAATAGTAATGTAGGCACATTCATGTATAAAATTAAAAATTGTTGATTTTGTATGGGTAAAGGGAACTAAGATTCCAGTGAAGGTAAGATTTCACTGCTTCTCCACAAGGCCATGCTCTCAGAACAGCTCTATGAAATTATTGCAGGATACTTCACCAGGATTTGCCTCTCCCAAAATTTACTACCCCTTCCTAGTTTGAGATACGACTATTCCAGCATATGCAGAATTTCTTGAAAAAAAAAACCTTTTTTTAAGCAATAGGACATACCACCCATAGAGTGATAGCAACTATTGCAGTTACTGGTTTTCAAAAAAAAAACCTCATTCTGTAGGAAGAGCTTGAATTCTCAACACTATATCATGAATGGGAACGAAAGAAGCAGATACTGCTTTGGCCTGATTATTCACCATAGAATAATGTTTTCTTATAACCCCCCCCCCCCAAAAAGCTATTCCATAGATAGAAACTAAATGTTGTGCTAAAGGGCCCTATTCAACTGAATGGAAATGATGATCCTGAAATGAAGAGGTTTCTATATTTCCAGGGCAAGAATGGCAACAATTCTCAACACTATATCATGAATGGGAACGAAAGAAGCAGATACTGCTTCGGCCTGATTATTCACCATAGAATAATGTTTTCTTATAACCCCCCCCCCCCAAAAAGCTATTCCATAGATAGAAACTAAATGTTGTGCTAAAGGGCCCTATTCAACTGATTGGAAATGATGATCCTGAAATGAAGAGGTTTCTATATTTCCAGGGCAAGAATGGCAACCCAAGAAAGCTGAAGAGTAGCCTGCACCATCCTAGGTGAAAAATACTTCTAACAACTCCAGCAAGAGTGACAGTTGGCTTTAGTTCCCCATGGTTGGCATAACTACTGAAGGCTTGGCAACAGCAGCATCTTCCTCTTTCCACTGAGAAATAACTGTCTTCAGCTGAGTATAGAACTGCACCCCCTGAAAAAACAGATATTAAGCTATAGAATTTATGCCAGCTTATGCTGCAGAATTATTGCAATTTAAGAAAAAAAAATTAAAACAGGCCCCTGCAAGTTCGCTATGAAATACAATATGCTACTAAGCGCAGTCCTCCCACATTCCATTTTAAGTATTTTATTCCACAGATAGACACAACAGCATAAATACATTTTTTTAAAAAGCAGTTACCTGTTTGCCATAGAAATTGGTGTCACCCCTGAAAGATCCACGAGAGCCAGTGAAGGAGAACATTGGTAAAGGCACCGGAATAGGAACATTCACACCAATCTAAACCAAAACCATATTAACAATAACATAATATAGCAAAGGTACAATCAGCACAGAAAGCTGAAAAGAACTAGTTCATGATCAGGATGCCCTGCATTTAAATCCATACTCTCCTGTGGATTTACTAGACAGTTCTTGAGCAATTTGATGTTTTGCAACCTCATGATCAAGCAATACATGACTTCTTTGCATAGGTATATAATTATTGGGATCACAGCAAGAGAAGGTGGGAATTTAAGGCTTTTTCCTCTGCTACAATCCTAATGAAAAATGCTCTAAATATTTTATATTGAGAAAGAAAGATTAAGTAAACCAATCCTATCAGTCTGAGAGGGAGAATTTAAAGTTGCAAGGATATTCCGTCTGCCAAGCTTGCACTGATATGCCAAAAGCAGTCAAGCTAATGGAAGTCAATTGTGATCGTGTCATAGGAGACACCTTTTCTTCTCATTTTGTGATTTATGCTGACATAGGAGTTCTGACAATCCAAATGACATGTCAATGGACACTTTTATAGATTAAAAAAAAAAATTCATAGGGTGGATCTCTGTCCTTCAAAAGGGAAATCTAAGCAATCCTCTGGTCCTTGAGGTGCCCTCCAAAGGACTGTGGTCTAAATACCTCTCCTGATTATTTCAATCCTAATAATTACTGGCACCTCAAGTGCTTTTCACTTCAAAATATGTTCTTGTTTAATGCAACAAATTATTTAACATTTCATTTAATTTGGCCCTCAGTTCATCATCAATAAATGGCAAATAGCTATATAGGGTGAGAGGAAAACAGCAGTGTACTGTACAGTGTAGGATTACTGTTTCTTGGCTCAGGGACTTTTTTAATTGGTCCAGCACTCAAGCCTAAGGATCAAATAAATAAATAAATCTGCTCACTATAAGTATTAACACTGTGAGGCCTATATATGTCACAACTTTCAATCTAAACTACTTTACAGGTTATCTGAAAAATTAGAACATTAGGAAATTGCTTTGATCCACCTAGTTTCCACTCAAACTGTCAGCAGTTCTTCAAGTTGTTTGCCATGGAAAGGAGGTACTCTGCCACTGACTATGGTGTTACAAGTTCTACATACACGTCTTTATTTACCTGTCCAACATCCACTAAATGGGAGTATTTCCGAGCAGTGGCACCATTAGTGGTGAAGATTGCTGTTCCATTCCCATAGGGATTGTTATTCACTATTTCAATGGCTTCATCCAGACTGTTTGCTTCCAGAACCACTAGAACTGGTCCAAAAATTTCCTCCTTATAGCAGGTCATATTAGGCTACCAAAACAGAAACAACTTGAATTTGTAAAAGAATTTTTCTTCACAAAACATGGTTCAGAGTACCCGTCGCATAACTGTTGAAGCAATGACTACCACTCTAGGTTCTGATTATCATTCTTTCCAATACTGTACTCAGAATGGAGCACCTAAGAAAGGAGAGGGAGGTACTTGTAGGCATTTTAAGATTTGTTTTAAAAAAATTAAGCAGCAAATTCCTAAGTGGAGTAAATAACTGCAAACAATCCAGTAAAAACTCAGCAGGCATGGAATGTAGAATAATGATTGGAAAAGAAAAATGAAGAATAAAATGTTTTGCTTGGAGAGGATTATTGGCTGGAAGCACAAACAAAAATAGTCCAATCAGGAGATCAGACATATGAAAAACATGCAGAAGTTTTGTTGCAGGTCTCACTTAAATACTACAGGTAACAAGCTGCAAATGTTTTGACCTGGCATGGGCCAGCACACCAATTTAGCTGTGGAAAACAGATCCCAATTCAGATATAAAATGCACTAGCCGACTTTTCTTCCCTGATTGTTACAGAAGATCTGCAACCTAATCTTACCCTACCTTCCTTAGAAGCCAGACCCTGTAAATTCAATAAAGCTTATTTTCATGCAACTGTAATAGAACCATAGTGCTCCTTGATGTAATGGCCAGGTATAAAAGGAATAAACTGGCTCTTTTTCCCAGTTATCTGTTCTTCCTGCATCATTTCAACATCATCTTTAGATCTAGCTTGATTAGAAAGAGTTGTGTAATGCTCATCGCCTACATCTTTCAACAATTCTTATCTTTCTGCAGAAAAGGAGTATATCTTGGAGCAGATAACTCCTATCAACTCTGAGTTTCATAGTGAACCTTCAGTTGGTGCAAAATGCAGCAGCACGGGCAGTTTTATGTGCGCCTAGATCTACGCACATTATACCTCTGCTTTGCGAGCTGCATTGGCTACCAGTTTGCTTCTGGGTCCAATTCAAGGGGCTGGCAATGACCTATAAAGCCCTACATGGCATGGGACAGGGTTATTTGAGGGACTGCCTCTCCCCAGTGACATCTACCCATCCCATCAGGTCCAGCAGAAGAGGCTTGTTGCGGGTTCTGTCCACTAGAGAACATCATCTGGCGGGACCCAAGAGAAGGGCCTTTTCTGCTGCTGCATCCACCCTGTGGAATATCATTCCCCCCGTGGTCTGGCTGGCCCTGACCTTGCTGGCCTTCCAGAAGGGCCTGAAGACCTGGCTCCGACCTGGGGATCAGAGAGTGATGTGGAGCCCATAAAATGGCTATGCTGTTCTTGAATGTCTATGCTCTCCCAGTGACTGTATTGTATGGCTTTTAATTGTTTCATTGTTTTTAATGTTTGTATGGGGGTTTTATTTTTTTATTTTTTGGGGTACTGTTTATGTTTTAATTGTAAGCCGCCCAGAGTCACAAATGTGAGATGGGCAGCTATATAAATTGAATGAATAAATAAATAAACCCTTATATCCCTCCCGTCCCAGCCAGCAACACAATCCTACAAGAAAACAAAGGAAGATCTGAACCCTCTGTTTTTTCCTTCTCATACAGCAGCCATAAGTTCATTGTAGGCAAGCCTTTTTTCTTTCTTTCTTTTTTGTTCTATATTTCTCAAATAATAGAGAGGTAGGCTGAAACAAATAAAAGCAAATTACTTCAGATAAACATGTCCTTGAATGTGATAGGAAAGCAGGAAAAGACAGGTTGCTTCTACTTTCAATTTCACAGAAAGTTAGCAGAAAGGAATGTTGTGACCAGCTGTGTCACCAGTGCAGCACAGCACTCCATTATTTGTACCACCAATATCATCATTAATGACAACAATATCACTGAAAATATGTTGTAAGACCTCTCCAAACATCATATATTACTTGGTAGGGTGCTGATAGCCTTAGTGGTTCCTCCTCTACTGGGCTGTCTGTGACTGCAGTCTAATTCTTGGCTGCTCTGTTTAAATATTTGTATGCTAGCCATTTCTAGGACAATCCAAAATTCAGTGTTTAAATTTTTATTACTTATGATGCCTATTTATGTTTTATTCAGGAGGAGAATCCACCGGATATATCTACCTTCAAAATTTCTTAACTTTTCCCCCTCCTTGATATACATAAACCGTATTTTTTCCATTTCATTGACAGCTCATTTACAATCTAGTTAGAATCCACTTTATTGCAAAATAAGCAAGCTTCAGGACATTTTCAACATTTCAAAAAATAATTGGACACCAATCCTTTTAATATGAAAGGGAGAATTGACCATTTTGGATTTCCTTTCCTTACTTTTAAAATTGGTAAAGGAAGTGATCAATGCATTAACTCACCTTGACGTTACCAAGAATAGTAGGTCCAACAAAATTGCCATTTTCAAACCCTTTCACTCTGATTTTTCGCCCATCAAGAAGAACACTAGCCCCTTCATTTGCTCCACTGTCAATCAGTTTGCAGACCCGTTCCTTAGCCTGGGGGCTGATCAGGGGCCCAAGATCTGCTCCAGGTTGATCTCCTATAATACACAAAAATTGCTCAGAGCCTACAATCAGACTTCATTTTTAAAAAATGCAATAAAATATGCAGAATTAAACAAAATATTATGTAAGGGATCACCTGGATGCACTTAAGATCG